AGTGTTTTATATATTGTACTCACATCCTCTTCTCGTTGTGCATCCTTGCACTGGTTTACCTTCTGCTTCACCATCCACTTCTACCTGCTCTATCAGCTTCCATGTGTCCGTCGAGATCCATTCCTTATCTTCTTTCTTCTTCCTTCCTAATACGGCTGTGCAGGTTTCTTTCCACAACTCTTTCAAAGACTTCCAGTGTTCTTCCACACAGGTTTCTTCAGGGATGTTCCTCGATATCTCCCATTTTGTCTTGATGGCTGACATGAAGATGTCCTTTGTAGTTTTATCCTTCAGTTTCCGAGTGTTGTACTTCAACTGTGGTCTATCACCAGATTCCTTGAAAGCTTTTAACTTGATTTGGAAGGTTCCTTGCACTAGATAGTGAGTAGTGTAAGCCTACATCTGCTCCTCTTCTTGACCTTGTGTCAAGTAGGCTGTCTCCATTTTCTTGAGATTGAGATAAAGTCGATCTGATTTTTAGTACAGTGTGTCCATCTGGTGAATGGTGAAATCCATGTCCTTTTGTGAATATCCTTGTGTTTGTACACATTGCCTCCAATCGCCATATCGTTGAATACACAGAATTCTGCAAACAATTCTCCATTCTCGTTCATCACCTCACCGAGCGCTTCTCGACCCATGGTTAGTTCTCTTCCTGTGTTGTCTGCTCCCAGTTTGGCATTCATGTCACGCCGTCCATTAGAATTTTGATGTCGCCAACTGAGGTCTTGTCCGGTGTTGATTGAAGTTGTCTGTAGAATTCTTCCTTTTTCTCTTGCTCTGCATTATTTGTAGGTGCGTAATGTAGCATTGTATGACTGTGACCTTGCTTCCTTTTGAGTTGAACCTTGCTGTCATGATCCTGGTGGAGGGGATTGGTTCCCACTGCATGAGAGCCTTCGATGTTGTTGGGGACATCATGATAGCGACTCCCTCAGTGTGCTCGTGGTTTTCGTCTGGGTGACCGGAGTAGATCATTGATTCTGCAGTTGACAGTTTGGAGAGTCCACTTCCATTCCATCTGCTCTCGCAGTTTCCTAATCCAGCCCTTCTTCTCATCTCTTTTGCAATCTGGGCTGTCTTGCAGGGTTCGAACATGGTGCGGACATTCCATGTCGCGTTTACTTTCGCTTTCATCGAGAGAAGAGAAGACACATAGGCCAATTGGCTTCCCGAAGTCTTTCACCAACCGGCGTTATTTCGTTTCTCCGATTCCAGCGAGAAATAAGTTTGTTTTTATGTTTTGTCTGTGCTTTGAAGTTTCTTTAGCGATTGGATTGGTTAGGGTTAGGGTCGCTAGCCCCACACCCAACTTTCCCTCGTTTTCCAGGCCTAGTATCGGTTGTTGAACTAGTAAAGTACGCGAGGTTGTTGCCGAGCACTACTTAACGCTGGTGTCTTCTCCATCTCTCTTGCTATTGCGGCCCATCACAAGAAATAATTTAGTTATTCTGATAATACAAGGGAGGTTTGAGCTTTTCACCTGCAATGCTTATATAATGCGGTTAAATGGACATCAGATAGTCTTAGTTAGGACTCAGGAAAGTTTTACTGTACAAGGATGCCATATTTTAATGTTAATTACTCTTTGTTAATTCAACATGTAATTTTAACATTCGCTTAATCGAGGTCCTCCTGTTGCTAATGCCCAGATGTGCTGCTATAGAAGCTGCAAAATGTAATGGAGTCGAAATCTCATTCATCGATGAATTCTAACTAGAAATTGACCGTGTCTTCATACTGAAGGGATTGATTACATTACGATTAACTGGTAGGAAAAGTGATGCTTTCTTACCAACTGTCCCTGTTTTTATGAGTAAGAGAACAACAAATCCGACCATCAGCTACAAGAAAACATTTTGGTCGAAATAATTCCTCTAGTTGAGAACCTAGATTTACAGGTCAGTTAAAGAGAGAAGTGAGTCAGAAACCTAGTATTTCCAAGTCAGATTATAAAGGATCATCTGTCAAAGATTTGCCCATTTCACAACCTAATTTCAACTAGTACTGACTTACTACACACATGATGCTGATGTGCAGATATTCCTTTTTCCCTGGGAAAGCCTGAACTCAAATAGAATAAACTACAATCTTACACTGATTAGTGGGTGAATAGGAAGTAACTTAGTTCACACTATTTATTCTTATGTCCCAACCGAATTCTATCGATCGCTTTGAAACAAGGTCACCAAACTAGAAGACGCAACATCACGGTCACTCTGAATGAAGTTCCATACAACACCATCTCTGGATTTTGATTGTTTTCTAGTACTGCAAGTGGGTATGAAAATGAGATGAGAAGTAACTACCAGTTTAACCGAAAATTTCAGGTCAGTACTAGGTGTAAATTAACATTGCCATGAATGTGAGTAAAGTCTATCAGCGTTTTGAAGAACAGCCCATTAATAAATAACTTCTCCAAATTCATTACAACTTACGTAAGCCTATTGATCAACGTCTGTAGTAGGAAGAATAAGGATGGTTATCATTTTCATAAATGGGAAACTGAATAGTACTTACGAGTGATTCACGTGTGATGCTGTCTGTCTAAAAGATATAGGCACTCCATTAATATATTTGTACAGTCATTAGAGGTTATTGAGCACATTTCAGCTATTGACGGAGCACATATCTTGTGCTTTTTCAAGGAATAATTTTGTTGGCGAATTACACATCCGTTTTACAAGTTGAAAACACCTCAGATCTTCTGCCTTATTTTCATATTACGAAACTCACAGGTTTGGCACTGAACCTTTTAGCCATAACGCAGACATTTTGACACATACTGCTACGTACTTGGCAAAGTAAAACGTACTGTAGTATGACATCGGCCCAACGCAGTACATTCCAAAAAGGCATACATTATAAAAAAAGTCAAAACCAACCAAAAGCACATGAAAGAACAGCAATAAGCAGGCGTGTAGTAGAATTTAAAAATTCTTATGGTCGATAATCGTTCATGTTGCCTAACTTCTCCAAATACTGTTCAACAGTTTCTTAAGAACTAACCAGAAGGTTCAAACTTTATTAAAAATCTCAAACCAGCACTCACTGACTTTGTGGTTTGTTGCCACTCATTGGTCGAACGGCACTCTAAGTCTCTTTCCACCTTACCCATACCCCAAGTAAAATAGAAAAATACTGTTTGTTGATTAGGGATGCATCAGCTGTTACAGATTCGTATTATTGACTAACTAACCTGGATTTGTTCCAAATTATGTTTAACCTTAACACTGTTCAACTTAATTATCAATTGTGCACCTCCACTTTTTAAGACAACTGTAAAAGACACATCGTGACCTGTTTTCTTCAGCTCCAAATTGTTCATTGGTATACTGGGATGAGTAGAAGTAGGCAACTGTTTGAAAACGTAGTAAGATGGTGAGTGACTAAGATACTGCTGAGAAATAGCATTATCAAGTGCAATCATTTTTTCTAGAATTCTACAACAAACCCGCACATCAGAGAACTATTTATACAAACTACCGTCAGTCACATAGTTCTACATATCGGGCGAAACATTCTTTGCTTTCAACCCTCATTTTTGAATGCAATTATTTTGAAGACTTTTCGTCTCATTTTTTCTCGTCTAATAACACTAAGTATCAACCAGAATGTTATTTCACGCAATGCTTAGTTCAAATGCAGTATTTGAAATTCACTTTTGTTCTTGTTCTGCTTTCGGATTCTCGTGTCGCATGATTGGAATGCAATATCAAAAACATACTTCTCTGGAAATATTACATTAAAAAATACTATTAACTGGATTCGATACACTCCACTGGTCTCCCTCAGCTTCAAAAAAAATTCCGACGTATTTGAATCTAACATTTCCTTAAAGATATAGGAACTAAATCAGACAATACCTTTTTTGTTTGAAGCTAATGGATAGGAACAGACAGTTTCCGAAAAAAAATGGAAGCAACTTAGTTTGGATATATAAAAAGACCCGGGTCGTTTTCCAGCCTAATTCAGTCTTTCTCCATTTGCATTTTAAACTCAACTATCACTATGATTGCACTCGCACACTTAGACTAATGTGGATTTGAAATTTTACCATCAAGATCGAACTTCCCAAATACAGTTAACAAGTATGGATGAGGAGCTAAGACATGATCACTTGAGGTTTAGTAATTATTCCGAGAATTTCAACAAAGAAGTGAATTTTCCTATCTGGAAATTAATATACTTTCAGTACATACAGAGGTTTGCAGGGACTAAATTACAAAACACCAGAAAGCTGAATTACGTTACAACTGCATTAAGCAGGCGAATAACTACAAGTAAATCTTGTACGTCATGGTTGCGCACTTCCGAGAAATCCCGAGTTAGGAAGAAACAACTCTTTGATGCTCACCACGTTTTCAGTGTTTCTCCAGCTATGACGTTAATTTATGATGAAAATTACTTTGAAATTAGTCAATTCCTACAGGCTGTCGAATCGAAATATAATATAACCAAAAGTGATTGTTTTAATTTTTGGGCCATCATTTTTAGATGAGTCGAGAAAAACCAACGTTCCGTCATGAAGTAAGTCATTGAAGACTAACAAACTTCATCGAGTCCCTTGCCTTCCTTACCTGGTACCCTTAGTCTAACCTCGCTGTTTCTGACACGATAGCAGCCCAATGCACTAGTCAGGTTCAGCTAGATAGAAGAATTTAAGATCGTAAAAAAAGGTAGAATCGTAAACATTTAGTTGAAGTTTATAGAGAAGCTATCAGGGAGCAAAAATACGTAATTAAAAAAATCCCATTGAGAAACTACATTTGAAGTATTTTACTAATGCGGATGATATCGCAGTAAGAACGATAACATTTAGAATGCTTTAAATGAAATAACTGATAAGATGCCATTATTCTAGCTTGGAGAATAGTTTATCCTTAAGGAGATGGGTAAGTTAGTATAGGTGGTATATGAACGTAAGACACTATGGAAGTGTGTAATCCCGTGTTTGTTTGTTGGATATTTCACACAGTGAAACAGTTTACTAACGTTCCGAACAGAATTTATTGTTAATACTTATATCAAATGTCTTTTGAAGCCATTCAGCTACAGCTAATAGCCTCGCCTTCAAGACCATCTTGAATCAAACACTCTTACAGAACATGTCTTATCAGAATATAATACCTATGTGTAAATATCCATTTGTGTTTAAAACACGGTGATCCATGAAGGCAATCTTTGTACAAAAGAGATCACATTAAAATTAAGATACTGTACAACTATATGGCATTACAGTGGGAGTTATATGAAGTTATTGCTTCACTCTATGTAGGTATAGGAAACATGAGGTAAAGAGGGAATACTCTGCTGACATAAATCGGATTTCATGCATTGCTTCTTTGAAGGTACTTTGTAATCATCGTTCAATATTCCAGCGGCATAATCTGCATCTTCCTGTGGATAAAATGAAGGAAAATATGAACTGTTAATCAGGTATGCGAAATACATTCACGCAAATGAAAAATTAGCATTGTGAAAATAAGATTATTTTCAATTGTGTAAGTTGATTTTGACAGTGGAAAAATTGAGTTCCATAGGATCAGTTTCAAACAAATAATCCTGATTACACACAAAACACAAAACAGTTTATATTCAATTTTGTGCTGCTTCTGTTCTTCTCATACCTTTTTAAATGGTTAACCATAAAAATACACATCCACGTAGAACTTAATGTACAAGTCTACTGGTACAAGTCGCCACATTTCACCGCGGCACATAAACAGAAAGTGAATAGAAAAGGAATGATACTGAGGTTGAGTGATTACAACACTGTATGACCAAACGATATATTTCTATTTGGAGTTTCGTTGCCTAACTGCAGGCTGAAGGTAAACCGATGAACATGAAAGAGATAGATAGGATCAGGACAGTTTGTTATATTCAAATAATAGTTCAAAGTAACATTCCTGTCGATTTATATAATTGGTCAGCATCATCAATCACTGACTCGCTGCGATGTGCAACTCGTTCATCTAACACAGTTCCCTATAAGACTTGGATTAATAATATTTTTGATCCACGTTTACATGACACTTTCTTTAACATAGGCTTGTTCCACCCAATATACTTTCGTTGGATTAGGGTCTTGTTAGCAATTCAAGATAGACGTTTAAAACACAAGTAGGATGGTCTACTTCCCTTTACTAAAACCTAATAGGTAAATACATCACACTGTTAAATTATTAATTCCAGTTGATAGCAGTAACGCTTCAAAAAAGTCAATGATGAAATAAATGTAAATTCTGTCATCTCATTTGCTTGTAATAGCTGTTTCACCAGATATATATTATTAATATAAAATCCCTCTACTTACTGCTATAACTACTAGTCCATAATTCACATATGTGACAAAGACTGATCGAATGAAAACTAATTTTATTTATTCTACCAAGTCGAAATTAGTGGTTTCGAACACAACTGTGTGAAAATAGGATTACCGAATAAATTTTTTCGCATAGAATATCTCAACAACAAAAGTATAGCTTTCAGTGAATTGTGACATTACACACTGATGATTCGGATTCTAGTGGACTATACAATTCAATATAGAACACACTAACAGGCACGAAGGAAATCAATTCCTGGACGTTTTATTGATCCGCAACTCATCAAATAAGAATATGATAATGCAGAAAGAAACAGAACACATTTATTGTAACTGTGAACTGATGATCAAAGTGAAAATTTATGTGTATATAAGGTGCTCAACTTCTTTCAGAATATTCGTAACAACTATGGCCTGGATGTTTATAATTATGTATGGGTTTTAGTTAGATGACCGAGAATTTTTAAAAAAGTTAAGATTTCCCAAAATGGCGTGATTAAAAGCATTTCGTTTTCTAGAATTTTCAGATCAAATTTTCGGGAAATAGTAGTTATCTCCAACACACATGTATAATATCTAACTGTAATATGCTTTTGACGATTTTAATTAATGCTTCCTAGGCGTTTTGCATATCATATCGAACATATCTATGTTTTTGAAAATTCGGATGGTAAGGATTATAGAATTTACAATACTCTGTGATCCTCAATCATTACAGTATGGGGGTAAAGGGAGACATTATGATTCATATACTAAGTACTTCAAAATAATGATGATTTTGATTTGACTACCTGAGATAGCCGTAGTTTGGCAGACTAGTATTTGTACTATGTGATGATTTGTTTTGGATTAGACAGGCTTCTGGCTGATTACCCGCAGTTTACCAAATGTTAAGTCTTGTGACGGGATAGTTTCTAAAAACATGATTTTCGAGATTAAAACATTTTCCCGTATTCTAAGTATCACCGCATGTCACCCATTCCTCTAAATTTAAATGTCTAAAACGTAATCAGTAGAAAAGGTTAAAGTGTAACAATATAGCTGTCTCGGTATAGACAGTGTATAAGTTGCTACCTTCTATAACTGCGTTTATTTCATTTGTGAGTGTAGACCTGGTCATATGATCATATTGGTTTTTAAACGATAATAGTCAACGGATGTGAATCAATAACAGTGACTTATTTCGCGAAAACAGTGAATTAGTTTGTAGTACGTATAGTTTACATGCCGTCGAATACAGTAAATATGTGATTGCATAACATACAACAATTTTTTTAACCAGCCGAATATTACGCAACTCCCTTTGGTTATTCAGTGTATTTTGATCCTTGACCGGAAATAATTTTGGAACTGTCTACCGTCTCTTATTTTAATTGGAGAATGTAGAGCTTAGTGAGTGACTTCATCGAGAGCAAAAATGTTTCTTCGCTGCAACCATCCATTTTGCCTCTCCATCTAACTATTTGATGGCGATACCATCTTACGACTTACATTGAGCTTTAGTAACATGAAAGGTTGGTCAGATTTTTGTACAGAAAAACACGGTTGCAATTAGACCACTTGTTTATAGTGGACATTCCCAGCTGTCCTGTAGGTATTGATGACGGGTTTATAGCATTTTAATGCAGACATTAAATTAGTTCCGACGATTATTGTCATTAGGTATACGGTAGTTTACTCAATCTGTTTCATACACTACTTTTTTCTTTATTAATAGAACTTGGAAGTGAAAGAATGAAATATATAACTTGATACAGGAGCGACAGAAAATCAATCCTTTTATGTGCAACTGGATATATATAATTGAACTTACCTGTGTATGTGGTGGTTCAGTTAGTGACTTCAATCTCCGTTTATGAGGCTTCTGTTTTTTGTGTAGATCAAGAGTTATTTGATCAATAAAATACTTATCACAACAGATGCAGAAAAATTGACCCAAACCCGGCCTATCTTCATCTGGCTCTGTAGCTTCACATATTCTTTTGGTAATATTTTCCTCTTTCAAGTCAGTGGATATCTGAAAAATTAGAAATATTGTCTAGTTATATCAGATAAATGAATGAACTAACAATATCGGATATATTTCGAACCTCATTCCATCTACTTCGGCCTTGGCAACCGGGTAGTATCATAAATCCTCACATAAGTCTAGCTCACATTCTAGTACGTAAACACGTATCGGATTGAGTTACAATTGTTTATTTAATTTTATTATTGTGTATATTCAAAGAGTGGAAAACTCGTCTGCAAATGCAAGCAAGAAATCAATATCTAAGATCAACTGATGTTACTGAGATCTTATATATGCGGGCGGCATAGACAAGAAAGATAAAAAAAATTACATTGAAACGAAAATCAAATTTCATTGCTGAGGTATTCCACATGATTCATTACAAAGTGAATGCCAAATTTTTTTTAAAATAAGTTATAGAAACCAAAATTAAGATCCATCCTTTAAGTAGTCGTTTTTATTCTTGACTGAGATATCTCAATAAACGCACAGAACTAAGTTAGATTATCAAGTGAAACTCACTATCATAACACTCAGTATTCCTGATAATTTCCTAACTATCCCTAGATCAGCTACCATGCATATACAGAAGACTGTTGATGTTGCATGGATTTACTAGGACTTTCATTTGCACACCAAGTATTCGTTGTTAGATGAATTCTACCTAGTTTGCTTCTTATCAATGACAAAGTGCTGATCCATGACAATTTGGCAACGTTTCAAACCGCAACATTCGGTAGTCATTTTGAGGTTTGCATGTACAGCATGCAGAAATTCACTCTTCCATGATATCCTTATTCACAAACGCATTTTACTTTTAGTCTGGTGGTCGGTAACTTTTTCAATGAAGGTACTGATATCTGAAAAAACAATAATATGATAAGAGGAGGTATTATAAACAGAATGTGCCGGTTTCGAGACTAATACAGACTTATTACGTAGTTCACTGCACCACCCATGAAGATATTTAGCGAAAACTCGTTAGTATTTCGTGACTTTTCAATTTTATAGAATCAACTCTAATAGAACTTATTCGTCACTGCGGCCATTTACAAATTTCGTTTAACTATTGGTTGAACTTGAAGTGTGCAGTGTCTTTATACCTTGACCATATGGGATTTTGGCATAGAGCTTTCAAGTTGTGAATAAAATTTTGAGCAACACTCTTCTCTAATATGCAACCTTAAAGAGCAGCTTTGTCCGATGAATCCAGAGGAGCCTTAGTGTCAAGAAAAATAAAACCTGCTGATCTGCAATGGGTGTGATAAAATTTCAACATAAGAAGGAGAGTGTCAACACATCGTCCTTAAAGGAATCCAGTTTGCTCCTCTCGCATGTTCTGTTAAGTTAGTGAAGTATGACAGGAAGTAATATGTTAACAAAAATGGGTGGTACGTTATTACCTGGTTGACTTTTGCATAAAGTGCGTGCACCTCTGTCAAAGACAGGTACTATACTAGCCTCGTTAGAATGAAGGGATCAGCTCATTCCACTTCTGGAATAGAATTAGTTACCTCTGTGATTAGAGTATCGTCACTTATAAATAGCTGGAGGTGAGTTGTCTACGTCGGACACAATCAAGATTTTTAATACTTGAAGTTTCTTCTGAAACTCCACTTTGGTAGGTGGGTTGATTTCAAGTGATTATGGGGGGGGAGACTGTTTCAGGGCCACACCATCACTGGAGTGACAAGCTATCTAATTTGCTTTCGAGTGCCCTTTCCCCTGGTAATTATATAAACATCATCTACCTCACAGAGTACCTCACTGACACCAAACTTTTTTATATCAATGGTTTAGGTAGAATGGGACAACCTCCAACTACTTGTATTTACCACAGCTCTTTCCAACTCATACCTGATATGTGAACATCAATTTAGTGGTTCTTCTGTAAGCGCTGTGAATTTTCCTGTACATAAGACTCACACAGGTCACTGTACTCACCATCACCAAAGATCTTAAAGATAGACAACTCACTAGTAGGACATTCTAACAAGCTAACATGAAATTTAGTTTCACGCTAGAAGTAGCCAATTCGCCTAATCAAACTGAATTAGAATTTCAATTTTGATTATTATTAAGACATCAGAGGACCTCGAAACACACCAAAGGAAAGTGTACCAGATGAAATAGTACTCTCATGTGTACTTATATCATCAGTGACCAACCAGAATGTGATTTATTTGAGCTCAGGCTTGGATGAGAGAGAAAGGACACAATGACATATTTTTGATGTCTGCATCGGATGTTAGTGTTGACAAGAAAAAGGTCGTGATCTTACTAAAGCTTGAGGATTTTCTTCATTTAACACGCAGTGAACTAGTCATCATTTTCGACCCAAATAACTCATCTCAGCTTGCACATTCACGTCCCCAGCGAAAACTATGATGTCTGTCGAACTCAATTAGATGAGAAGGGCGTTTAGTTGGTGATAGGGTTCGCCTTTAGTTGCATTCGTGTAGGAAACTATAGGAACATGGGCAAAGATGAAAAAGAAAAATTGTTTAGTTTGCCAATAACTTCGTCTAATTCAACCCTAAATTAACAATACACAGATGACTGATAAGGGGATCCAGTCAACTGGTGCAGCTGTAACTCCAGCATCTACCACAACATCGACGCCGTCAAGGCCCAGATAAACGTACATTAAACATATTCTTTGGGCAGAAAGATGACAAAGTTATTCAAGTCACTGTGTCAGGATCTTGTATGTGGGTCTCCAACATGCAGATATATCAATAAAACGAATGTCTGGGGTCCTAACAACATTTACCTACTATGAACATTTAGACAGCGAGACTAAACGCTATGCATAGTTTCATAACTGCGAAGTAACACATTGAAAGTGCCAACTTAGTGAAAGCAACTATTTAGTGAATCAAAACAATATAGACAATACGACAGACTATAATTCCAAACGGTGGTAAGTGGTAAAGTGAAATAGAAATCAAAGAAAAATCGAAAATGATAGCAATGTATAAAACAATTAGCACAAAGAATAAAAGTATAATTTCAAATCGTATAATTTGATACAGGATCCATAATGGAATAGACTTGGTAGATTATTTGCTTTGGTGAAAGCATCGAGAAGGTAATGAATGGGGCCTCCTTGATAAAGATCATGAACACATGGTTGTATGAAGGTATGCCGAGAGTGGCAGGTTTCGCCTACGCTCCAGTATGTTAAGGCATTTAGGATGGTTAGTCAGGCCCCAGAACTGATAGTCTGTGTGACATTTTGTATTGTTAAACACTAATGTCATGTCGTACGTTGATAATACTTGTCTGTTAGGTGAGTAATAAACACCTATAAATACTTACTGAGCCACCACAAAAGTTTAGTTCATAATACTTGAAGCTCAATATGCTGACTCTAGGTATCGTCCTTTCATCGTTTCAGAAAAAGCTGTAACTAGGTAAGACAAATGAAGCCCGTATTTCTCTCAGTAGAGTTATCTGTTAACATACCATCCAGGTATTAGGTCACTCGAGATGTACAGAGAAATAACTGTTATTATATACACACAGCTATTATCAGGTTGAACATGACAGAAATTCCCTTCCTGACTTCAATAACTAGGCTAACATGGGGGTTTGCACTATGCATCAGTTCATAATTTTAGCAAAAAATTCATTAAAGCAGATGAAATGAAAAGGGAAGAGCTATGTTCGGTGAAAGTTAAGAGAAACAAATGAGAAAACCTCTTCAACTCCTTTACTGACCGAGATTTTAAACATCAAATACATTATGAATCACCTGATCGATATCTCTTGTCCGGTTTTTGACTTTATAACGAGCGTTACGAACACCCTTTCGACCCATAGGCTTCGGTAACGAAGACAAATATGTCGACTTTATGTTTTTTAGATTTCTTGGAATCGACAGTGACCTGGTACAGAGGATATCTGAAGAATGAAAGAAAAATGGTTATTTTTACTGAGGCAGGTATTTTACTAATCTAAGGAAAATTATTTTAAGTTCATAGATGAACCTGTAGGGAGATCTTCAACCAAGTAATATACCGACTGAAATTGTAATTTCTTGAGCTAAGACAGCATTGTGGTCGACAAGACGAGTCAAATATTCTCGGACATCCCGAATGACCTGCCTAAGGGAGCGCTGAGGACGGATTAGTGTTGTGGACAGACACAAGGACAGATTTTCTTTATCACTGGATAACTTCCATTGCATGTCTTTATTTTCCGAAACTCTTCTCATTCCCCTATCACTTCTGAAATCATTATTTTCAAGGGCTTGTTGGTCTTTCTTTAATGTATTGGTGCGAATTTTGGCTGCTTAAACCGGTATGTATTTCTGACAGGCTTCATGCTGTATGTGTCTTAGTCTCTACTCGTTTCGTACAGTCATTCTACTATACAAGCAGTTTAGATTACCTAACGGGAGCGCGGACCTTTTTCGAACAGATTTGCAGAAATCTTTAGACTTCAGTAGTCTTCTCTTAATGTATCAGGTTTTGATTGTTCTAATCTATGCTTCATAATGTAGTAAGGTTTCCCATACAGAAACCCATGACCTTCGGGAATAATGGGTACTGAATGTCGAACTCCCCTTCCCACCAATCTCCTATAGTCATTGGTGAAGCAGTGATTTAGAAACTTCAGTCTTCATCAGTCATGAGTTATTGTGTTAAAATCCTGATTCACTAGTCTGACATGAATAGCTGTGTCTCAGCACAATGAAAATCTACGGTTATTGATGACTTAACTACCTTTAGATGGCTACATTCTTTTGTAAGATGGTTCAATAATCAGAGAATTAAAACGACATTTCCTATATGAATTTTAATTGATTGACTAGAGTACTGTTTGGTGAAACAGTGTTAACAGAACCTACAAACACAAACTACTTGTTATAATTCTTGAGTACATCCATTTTTCGCAACCCCCATAAATAACGGACGCTTTTCTGTGAGATTACTCTAAATGTATAGGGACAAGGAAGCTAAGTTATTCAGAGAATTATTGAGATTTTCCTTAGGAATGTACTGGGCGGTATGACAGCTTCCCAAAGATTAATGAGAAGTTATTGGCTGTTGTACGACGTTCAATTTATTCTTTACTAACTATGCATATTTATTTGTGCCATTTCGATTTTCATCCACTGTACATAATTAAAACATTTATTAACTAACGCTACGATATGATATGAGTCAAGATACGATAAAGTTACTTTTTTCAGTTACTATTTAGTTTAGTTTTAAGGACGAGCATAACTCGGTTGCAATCAGATGGGTAATAGTTTCATCTTGTGAATACTTATCACTTGGCCAGTTTTCTACCTACTATTCGACCACCATCTAATTAACACTCCGAAATAACCAATATAGAAAGCTTTATATATATATATATATATATATATATATATATATATATATATATATCGCTAGCCAGGTCTCTATCTTCAGTTATATGTACATGCTACTTTTCTGAAACACGCATACATTATCCGAGTATAGTTATTAACTTCGTCTCATCTGGCCAATGAGGTGAATATTTAAAATCTACATTACCAGTTTCCAGAGTTCCACTAAAAGATGTCAGTTTTAGTACATAAAGCAAAATATTCAGATATACTCACAGTAGCTGGCCACTTCAACGCTCATGTAAGGAAGCTGGAAGTATCCACGGCATCCCATGTCAACGAACAAACACCGATGGTTGTCTACAATAGTTTTGTCCTGAAAATCACTTGTTTCTGGCCAAGCTTCAAGCATACGGAAAACCATTGTGTCACATGGTGTCTGCTGACATCAAATTAGAAGCGGACATATAGATCATATTGCTACAAGTGATTGTTGGAGAGGATCGATAGAAGACTGTTGCTCTTCCTCGAGTACTTGTTTGAAGCTCGACCACGGGTTCGTACGGATACGTGTATTTGTCTTAATGGTCGCAGGAAGCAGCAGTAGTGAGGCCTATGTGCTCGACTGGATGTCATTTGTGTATTTAGGGTAGGATAGCGCAAAACATTTATCTGAACATGATCGCAGTTCTCTTTATGATAAAGCCTGGTGTGATGTTAGGTTCGCTGTAAAAACGGACGTAAAGACAGTTGGTAACCTACATCCACAGGTTAGCAAGTATCAGTGGATTTCCATAACCTCATAGGAACTGATTCATGTGAGAAGACTGATTACAGCTGGCTCTGATCACAATGAAGAGAGGAAACACCCCAAACCTAAATTAACTGGGATTTTTCGCAATGATTGCGAGGAGCGGTGGGTGGTGGCAGTGGGAGAGACAGAGGAGGCATCAGCGTCAAGTAAAGCTCGGCAACTATTCGGGCTTATCAAGGAAATCCGTAAGAATAGGACGATGGTTAGTGAGAACACCGAAAAGGATGGGACCTTGATAACGTCTCAAGAAAGATGGCTAGAACATTGGGTAAATGTTTTCAAGGATGGAGGTAGGAAATTACTGCCCAAAGAGGCCGAAGTACTAGGTAGTGTGTGGGGATCAGAGGTGGTCCCGTCAAACTGGTCTACTTTGCGGATCATTTCAGTCTCTAAGAAGGAAGAGAAGTCTGCCTGTGACAACCATAGGGGAACTAGTTTGACTAGTATTGTGTCCAAGATCCTAGGGTCCATGGTTATCCGATGCCTGACTGAAGCTCTAAAACAGCAAACTCGAGGAAACCGAGCAGTTTTCAGACCAGGACGAGGGGGCATCGGGCAGATCTTTACTCTTCGTCAAGCAATAGAAAAGAGGGATACTTCAGGGCAGTTGACACGTCATATTTCTTGACCAGAAGAAGGCGTTTAGCCCTGTCGACCGTGAGATGTTGTGGCAGTCTCTGGCTGTGAAGGGAGTACCGAGGAAATATGAAGCTAACCAAAGCCCTTTACTCAAACTCATGCAGCCGCGTAAGGGCTTGTGGAGAGTTGTCATCTGAATTGACAACCAGTGGTCACCACCAAGTGTCACTGTTCCTATTTAATTTCGTTCTAGACGTACTAGCGAACATAACCTTAGGTAGTCTGGCTTCACAGGGATTAATCTGCTCCCAGAAGGTCACCTAGTTGACTTGGAGTACGCAAACGATATCATCTTGGAGACACAAGCAAAACGTAGGGTAATCTGAGCGCCTGCAGCATAAATCTGAGTAAGCTTGGCAGACTTTTCGTACCTGCCAGGTGTAAAATGACACTTCAGGGCAGGTCTGTAACTACTCCCTTAGTACGCGTAGGCAACGAGGTGGTAAAATGCGTCAACCCGAACACGCTGGTTGCTTACGAAATTCCAGGTCGGATAGAGAAGGCTCGTTTGGCATTTGCCAACTTGCGTCACCTGTGGCACCAACTGGCGAGATACCCGGCTACCTATGAAAGGACAAGATATCAAAAGACTACACGTGTTTGACCGTAGGTACATGCGGAGCATTGCTCACATATGGTGGAATTACTGCGTGAGTAATGTTGACGTTGAACGAAAGGTACTATGCAAGGAATGAAAGTCGGATGATGAGGCAGTAACCCCTCACCGCCTGCCTCGATGTGCAATGTTAGAAGTTAGAAGAAAGTTCAGGGTGACCAGACGATGTGGTACGAGTCCATAAGGTCTCTGACTGTTGGTTTGAGATATGTATGGAGACGTAGACTATCTGGCCGAGGTCCTCCAGATAGAAGGAGTCAGTGACTGATGGCTCTCGATGAAATGGCTGAAGTCGGTTCTATTGGCACTTCACATGAGACTGTAAAGTTGAAGTGTGGAAACTGGAACCAATGCTTTTGTGTGCGAGGTTTTACTTTGATTCACTCCCTCTGTATATATATATATATATATATATATATATATATATATATATATATATATATATATATATATATATATATATATATATATATGAAACCAAACACGCCACCTCGCCTCAGATTTACTTGCATGCTGTTTGCACTGAGCGCGAGAAATCCTGCGAAAACAATGGTGGTCAAAAGCGCGGTCATCCTACATCATCATATGGGATAGACCAGGTTGCACAAGCAGCGTGTACCAAACCTTTTAAAGTCAAGTAAGGTATATGTCACAAGAGTGACGAAGGTAACACAGATTGGAGTATGCCACTTTGGTTTTCGATACACAAATATCAGTTATACCTTCATCGGTACCTACACAGCTACCCAGATACACAAACTTCATGGGTCTTGATATTGTGTAGTAGTTCTATGTAGTTGAAATATTTGGTACTCTGCTATTAAAATCGACCTGCGTAAAAATTATAGGTCGAGAGGAAAGTGTTGAAGGTCACTATCCCTTTATGAACTTAAAAAAGTTGGTTGGTAGTTTGATTACCAACATTTAGATGCAGGAAGTTAAGTAAAATTGAGGGTAAAAGTAGGATTAAAATATAATTATCAAAACAGTCAGTGAGTAAAATGCATCATAGTTTTAACAACCGGGATGATTACTTAAGGCAACTATGTGGATACAGTTCGCAGAAATCCTTTTCATGTATGATCATTTTTCACAGTCTCATAGTAAAGTAGAGCCAACTGCAGGATACACCACTCGGAGTTGTAGCTCATTGGTCTTGATACTTGACCTTCCACATATGAGTTACGGGTTCCAATAACGCACCATCTACCGAGATCTTGGAAACCAGGTAGTATCATTAGCCCTAACACAATAAGTGTGGCATGCTGTCTACCTCACAAACGTGCACGTGGTTGCTGAGTGCATTTAGACACTTAGTGCATATAAGGTAAATGGATATCACAGTGACAGCATAAATGAAGCAAACTAGTGAAACCCAAGTCAGCTTTCCGTATCCATGCAGAGATCATGTCGGTCACTGACTAATGAGACCAATCATTTTACTCCCTACTGTTAAGCAAGGCACCACTGAAGACCAGTTCTGGAGCAACAATTTGCATTTGGATGATCAGAAACGCATTACAAACATTCTTAAATTGCCACCCAATGTATCCAGAAGACTACATTTAGTCAGTATCTTTACCTGATAGGATCATGTCATCCGTGTATTCTAAGTCTGCAAAGTCAGTGTGAGGGAGAACTCCGTAAGTACGTCTATGATAAAGCTGGATAATGATACAGAGAGTGGACATTCTTAACGAACACCAATCATTTATACAACTTACCACAGGCAGACAAGCTCACGAATGTTCGAGTACATAACCTAACCAGAAGCCCTTTCTATGACAAGTACTAATAAAATAACTCTCGATTGATAGAGTCGAGTAACGCCTTCAGGTAGAGAAATACAGCTAGTGTCGGTAAGTGTCCCTACTTTTCAGAACCTAGCGGAGTGTGGATATCTAGTCAATACACTCAGGTGTGAAACCTGTGGTTTTGCTATTCAAAACCCTCACTATGACGTCTAATGAATATAGAATCTTATAGATTATGTTCCTTAGGCTGATTCCCTCATCGTTACCACAAGAGGACGTCCGCCTTTCCTGGGGACTAGGATAGTCAATGATTGCGAACCCCGTCTCAAAAACTAGCTAATATTTCAGTTAACCTGACCAAATATCCTCGATGACCGTCCTTCCGGAACTAGACCATCTGACCTTGTTGCTCATCCACGTTCCACGTTACTTACAGCCTTCCCAACTTCGGCGAAAGTTAGAAGGCCTGTCTCAGTTTTCTATTCAGGAACCGACTGGATAATGGTCAACGAAATAGGAGCTGGATCCCAGGTGAGGTGTTCGTCAAGGTGTTCCACCCAACGCTTAAATCGTTTCCTCTGTGAATAAGACGAAGATCCATCCTTTTACACTTTAGTTACATTTACCATTGACCTCTTCGCCCTAATTCGCTCAATAAGTCTACATAATTGCCTATTGTTACCAATCGTCGTAGCCTTTTCTATCTCTATAGACCAGGACTTATTGCTGCTTGCAGTCATTGTGTAGACTTTTTGTCATTCTGCATTTTAGTTGCCTCCACTCCTCATTGTGCTCGGAGTCTGCAGGAATGCGTCTATGTGCATCTTTTAAACCAAAAGCTGCTGAGATCCACTGAAGTTTTCTAACCACTCTGAGAGACTCGGTTACAATCTTTAAAGCTGTTTTACAGCAGATTCAAGATGTCACCACGATTCTTCCGGATGATGTTGTTTCGATAGCTATCTAGTCAGTTTTTCGCTAGAAGCATCATTAGTGTTCTTACTTTCGAGCCACGCCCGCAATCGTCTTGTAGCTGCAGTTTTTCTACACCTATTTAGTAGCAGACAGATGTGCTTGAATGAACATGTCGGAACACACTCGCCGACCGTCTCCACCAATAACTAGTGGCAATACAGTGTGCCTACTGCTGAGTTGAGGTCATTGGATGTCGCATGAGGCGTCTCTCTCTCTGCGTACAAATTTCGCATTGGTCAGAAATAGATGACTGTCTAAAGTTATACCAGGCAGTCGCCTCTAACTGTTCATTCGGTCGGGATTCTGAAAGTTCCAGTCGAGTTACGTAACACTGGATCACTTCAGGAGATAACTTTGGTTGTCTACACGGTTACATTTGACTTTTCTTGTAGTTTGATAGTCAAACAAAGAATGTAAGACGTCTTATTCGCAAAATGTTCGGGAATCAACTATCAAAGGAAGATCTGGGTAAGATGAAGTCAAGTTCCTATCCCGGTTGTTGAAGGTTTAAACGTGACAACGAATTTAGATTTGGATAAAGTCAGTGTGGTCCAACTTTAACTCAATTCTCTTACCGACTTTATTGACACTTATGCATCAGACAAGATATCGTTGGTAACCACCCCGTTCTGTCTGATGTAACTCCCCAAGTGATGTGGTCAACAAAACCCACGACTTTACCACCTGTCATTAGACTCGGAGTAGTATCAGAACAGTCCTGGAGGTACCAGGGGATCAGAACTGGTGCTGTCAGACTACAGACTACAAAGTCAGAGATGTGACCCTATAGGTTCAATAATAAAGTTATTTCCTCCGAAGCATTCCCTTCACGGCTCAGACACAAGTGATAGCAGCTTCTAAGTTTTAAAATGAAATGATCTACAGCCAGTCCTATGAATTTATGTATCAAAGTTTGTTTAACGCGTCAGTAAGCGTACCTGTGTTTAGTTGGTACACTCTTGTTCAAACGATCACTTATAGTTAATTTAAGCAAACATTGTACGTTTCGTATGTAGTTAAGGGTCTTTTTCCTGATCCATATTCTGACAGAGTGTTCAAGCTCATTCAGGGTAAACATGAAATAACTAACCTGACAGGTTACGCAACGGACTGAAGGACGCGGGAGCATAGTGTGAAATATTTTTTTATGTTGCAACAATTACGTGCCTTAACTGGAGTGCTTCTTATGTGTGAATCACTTTAATACGTTTCCTGGTCTCCACTGTATTTCTGTCCCATCAACAACTATTTGAACCACTTGAAGTAGTTTACATTTTCAAGCTTTATTAGCTGAAAAAGAAATATAGGCTTTTGCCGATGACATAAAAATATGGAGAACAAGAGGTAGGGAGGAGAATTCCGCAGCAATCCAAGACAATTTACGGCACTTGTAGCCCTGGCCAGTTGAAAATGGTTTGAACTTTAATCTAGAGAGGTGCAAAGTAGTTCATCTTCACACACGGGAAGAAACTAACTACAACCTTGACAAGTGCGAGATTACTATGGTTTCACTAGGAAGAGCATTAGATTAAGCTCCTCTGACGTACTAAGTACTCGTGTCAGCTACCAGGGAACGGCGAAAACCATCATACACTTTCTAGAAAGGCAGCTCGGAGCTCCAATCTCTACACTGTTCCTGAGCGTATTGAAAACTTATTTTACAGTGCCCAGATTCTTTCAGGAGAATATTCTTCCCTTTACAAAAGGCAGAAGTATGTAATCTCCATAAGGTCGTGAGAAGTACCACTGTCGCGATAACAAGTAAAACATGCTCACCGCAAAGCTTTAGACAACTAGATCGAAAGAAAGAAGAAGGCAACCCAGCAACAGCCCACAAGATTATCTATCAACTACCGCACTCCAGCAGGACAGTATTTTCGGTCGAAAGCCGACAGTATCGTGGAACACTGCTAACGAACTCCAGATGTCAAAGGCGAGGCTCAGATCCAACTTCCCTCACAGAGTGGGCGGCATGGAACAATCTGCTGAAAGAAGTAACCATATCCACCTCAGTTGACTCCTTTGAGTAAATGCTAGATGTGCATGCAGGCACAAACGGCCTACCGCTAACATTCACCGGTAGCATCTGCAGGTAAGCTCATTGATCCCCTCAATGCATAACCCCATCATCGGCAATGTAATCCATACCTTCTTCATAATATTACTGGATTCACTTACTTTTTATGAGTATTTTAAGCTCCTCTTCCCTCAAACCCTACTCACCCTAATACCTCTAAAATAACGTCCAATATTTGTTTACAGGAGTCTAAAGAAACAGGAACCGCAAAAGATGAACTGACCCTATTGGTAGCCTAGTTGGGCTTGCAAATAAAACACCGCACAGTTTACAAAGGAAAACCTTCAAATAGACAGTCGCTGCTTCCAAAGCCATAAGGCTGTGGACTGAAATGATTTATGAAATCATCCATGGACAATAGCGGACAGAACAGAATCCAGCCTCAAGACCTCAAAGAGAAAGTTCAAAAACCACAAGTACCTCCTACCAGCACTATTGATGTTGGAGGTTGGGGTAGGGCAACTATGACAGTTTTGCGTGCTTTCTTCACTAGAAAAACTGCTTTTCATACCAGTGAATTCTATCTCACTGTGTAGCTGTTCCGGATAATCAAGTTAGAACGTTTACCAAGCTAAGGAGGTGGCTTAGGGAGCTAGGAGTGTGAACTTTTTAATTTTCCTCTTAGGAGAATACCTGAACATTTCTTTGAAAACAATCAATCTGAAAGTTTTTTCTTCCTTCATCTTCCAAATTCTCATCCATTTTGTTAACAGTAGTAGACCCTGGGTTTGTTTTTCCTTACTCCCCAGTTCCCAGTGCGTCCAGATTTGTGTCCGACTTTCGCAATTGCGTGGAAATGTATGACGGTTGGCTTACACTACTATCTGGTTGTTATCACTTCTACCTGCGACCTGTTGAGATATTGTTTGCGTTAACTTTTAGTGGAAATTCACGTCTCTATCGCAAACGGATAAGCAGTCTACTCAACGGCGATATTTCGCGGTCTTCATAGTCGCAACGCCATTCTACCCCTCAACTCGTGTTGCAGAGTCTGCACCTATACTTACTGAACCCTATGGCACCCTATTTAAGTAACTCACTTTCTGAATACATTTGCCGTGTTTATTGACTTTCTAGTTATAATAATAATAATAATATATTTCATACAACAAAGGTTACATGAATACAAACCATTTTACAGGTTTGATCACTTTGGTAATGAGAGATGACTATTATGTACAATGTTATGCTATACATTAGATGCTGTGATTTATGGCATATAGGAGGCATGTTGAAGCAGGCTCAGTTTGAATTTGAAGATTATCCGGTCATCGTTTGAATCATCCAATATTCTTGAGGGTGAGGCCGCATCACGGCCATGACCTTGAGGTGTGCGCGTTCGTCATCAGGTTTTGATGGCAATATTTCCCGCTGACGAATGCGATTTGTAGGATTCCATTTGAATGCAGGACTGGTTAAGTAAATCTGAAAAGTGAATAACAAAAGCGAGCAGCAGGCGAAATTTGTAACAGGAGCACAAAAATACGCAGGGGTAGATCGACCATGATACATCTGGGTGAGTTTGTACTGACTGTTAAACTTACCTGAGGAAGTGTCCAGAACCAACTGTTTAGAGGTAAGCTTAGGTGGAAGAAGATGAAGGTGCGCACGACAGTAATGAAAGTCAGTCTGAAGCTGAAGATATCACTACGAAATAGAAAGATTAGAGGATATTTGACCAGGTATTAACTTGTTATATACCTATGTACAAGCGTATGATGAAGTTATAAACATTTAGGCGAAATTCGTGGTTTTTTTTTGTTCTTCGGACCACCATTTTTTATCTGGTCACGAGGGGGATGATCATGGTGTTGCCTGTTGAGTATTACCATATCGGGTCTACCGAAACTATGTTGGTGCAGAGTACTTAGATGTAAGTACTGATGATAAAGGGCAAATAATAAAGAGTTGCATGCTATGAAAACCTAGTTAAATTTCCGTTTTTATGAATCTTTGTTGCCTTTTACCTGTTCCAGTGTATAAGTGTTAAAGACCCCTGGCTTTTGTTACTTATTGTTTCTAAGTCTTCTCGTCCGTAAATTTGTTTTACAAAAGGAGGTAAACAATGCTTTTATCTGCTAAGCACGTGGAGCTTCAGTAAAGTGTACTGATATAACACAAACCAGGCTTGTTGCTCAGCTTTTTAACGGGAAAGTTTTGATATCTTTGGTCTGAATGCAAACAGCTCGCGGTAAAGTTGAAACTATACGCTACTTTTACACGTGATCCTTGATTACATCATTTGTCGATTTCTTGTTGTGCTTAGCTCACTAATACTGTGTATATGTATAGTAATATAACGATATATTCCGTCTGGATGATTTAAAGCTACATTGTTATATATAGACAGTGTATTCCCATCCTTTTAGACTGCATACACTACCGTCAACTGCACATCTCACCTAAAACCTATTACAAGAATGGGAAGGTCGAAAGCGAAGCGCTCAAAGATAGATAGCAACAGCGATAAGAATAAAAGAGTCTGTTCCACTAACATTTCAGGTTGTGACCGAGACTCTGTAGCTTCACATAATCCAGATCCCGACGAACTTACATGCCTTACACCACCCGTCAGGGCTGAGGACATTATGTCGGTCGTGAATAATAACATCAAGGAAAACAGAGAAGAAGTTGACAGTACTAAGTTCATGATAGATGGAATCAAGAAAGTAGTTGAGGACTTCCGACCCTTTTGGGGAAACACAACAACCTAGTACCAAACCATATTGAAGAAGCTGAAACGCTAATAGATTTCCTGGCAACTGAGGCAGTGAAGAAGCTGGCATTTTCTCAACAGGCAATAGAATACAATGTTCCAGATACCATATCTTTAGATGTCGTCAGGAAAAGGTTGTTAGACTCATATGGCATGACGCCTATACACTGTGACTGCAAACGCCTCCGCAAGAAAGTGGCACAGCTAAGTTGCTCCACTCTTTTCAAGTTCACCACCTCATATGACGCTAAGAGGTTCATTAACTATCACGATCACATATCACTAAACAGCAATTTTAAAACTATCACAATTGTACAGGACAAAACTTGTCAGCGCAGAAAAAAAGAAAGGGTCCTACCACTCCGGCGTATGCAGACTACGAAGGTACTGGATGCCCTGAGAAACATTCGAATAGTGCTGCTATGACTAGCAACCCTACTGCGCCGGCCACTCTGGTGGCAAAGCAATCCCAAGCGGACTTGAACCTAAGTAGCCCGGATTGTTTAATCCCTCATGAAACCCCAACTATCAGCACTAGCCTCCCTAAAGCAACTATAGATAAACACCCTTCAGCTGATAGTAACGTCACTAAACACAGACCTACAGGTAAAACCATGTACTTCAGACCTACAAAGCTACCGAAGAAAGCCATTTTAAACGCACCTTATCTAACGACGGCGAAGAGAACCGCGTAGGTAACATAGTTGCCATCGAGCCCCTCAGGTGCAGTCCATGGGATGAGTACTCCATGACAGCTTCATTAACAGAGCCACTCTCGTTTTTCTATGGAAATATAATGCTTTGTCTAGATATCTTTGCTCCTACGAGAGCAGCTAAGGTGAAGAAGAATGAGGGCCAATACATCCCTTGAATATTTCGGAACAAATTACGAAAATTATTTGAGCTATATCATTCCTCTAGAGACTTTCTGGTGCTGAACTCACTCTACGATACTTATAAAGCAATTAAGACTACGTGCACGAGACTCAATAAGCGGAAAGCTGAATGCCCTCAAAAGTGGTTCTAGGATACATAGTTTGACCTCCCTTTTGAATAAACGTTTGCAGGCATCGAGAGACAGCTTGTTTATTACACAACTAAATGGTCTGTAACGATCCCCTCGAAATTTGTGAACTATTTAGCGAATCCTCCGCAGAATTCAGTCCTAGCACACTTAACCCCACCACTTTTTCACTGCTCACTACAGGTTCATGCGCCAATGTGAATTTTACTGTTAAAAGTATCACAGAGGCTGTCATGAACTTGCGACTATCAACAAGTATGCGAATGGACAACCTAAACTCACTTTTATCAGGAACAGTGGTGACGATATGTCTCTGTTCCTGCTTGAGATATCCACCCTATCAATGGAAAGTGGCGTATACCCCGCTGAATGGAAAACTAGCTACGTAACGCCTCACTATAAGCCCGGAGACAAACAAACGCCAATAATTACAGACCCGTCAA